ATACTTCAATTTGAGTCCAGAAAGACTCATTACATCCATAACACCCTGTAACAATAAATTCTGTAGTCAATAATAAATATTTGTCAAATTTAGTTGTTACATTTATCTTATAAAACAAATATATTAAAGGCATAGTTCACCAAAAAGAAAAGACAATTTTTTTTTTTTGAAAATGTACTCTCAGGCCATTCAAGATGAGTAGATGAGTTTCTAAATCAGAACAGATTTGGAGAAATTTAGCATCACTTGCTCACCAATGAATCCTCTGCAGTGAATGGGTGCCGTCAGAATGAGCCCAAAAAGCTGATAAAAACATCACAATAATCCACAAGTAATCACAAGTGAAAAGCCTTGTGTTTGTAATAAACAAATCCATCATCAAGGCATTTTAACATCCATAATAAATCCATAATCCATAATCAAAACTCTTTCATCAAAATCCAACGAGAAATTTATTTAGAATAGTTTTCACTTGTAAACACAGCTTGACAGGAAAACAGGAAACTTGATCCTTTGCAGTTTACTTATAGAGTTGAGCATGGAGTTGAAGATGCCACTCTCACTCTACTGGATAAGGTTGGAAAATATTTGGATGCGGCAGATTTCTGCATTAGGATTTTATTTCTGCATTTTTAACACTGTGAACATAAATACACTTTTAAGGTGGCTGAAGGAGTTGCAGGTGCACCAAACTCTTATTTTATGGATTAATAATTTTTTAAGGAACTGTCCACAGCATGTGCTGGTAAATAGCAAAAAGTCGGAGAATGTGGTTTTAAACACTGGTCTTCCACAGGGATGTGTTTTATCTCCAATTCTTTTTTCTATTCATACAAATGAAATGACCTGTGATAATGATAATTTGACGCTTATAAAATATGCAGATGACATGGCCTTGGTGGGATGTGTAAAGGATATTCAATCATTGTACTTACCTCAATTTTGTGGGAGGAGAGTTCTTTGTAGCTTAATATTAGTCAAACTAAAGAAATGTGTTGTGGGGCTAATAATGTACGAGCACTTTGTAAGCCTTTGTTATGTAATGGAGATGAAGTTGAGCAGGTGGGATCTTTTAAATATTTAGGTACAGAGATTGACTCCCAATTTTCATTTGATAAGCATTCAGACAGTGTTTTTAAAAAGGTTTATAGGCTTATTGAGGAAACCGAGGAGTTTTAATATTGAAAAGGACATTCTCTCCTGATTAAGATGAGAAGACTTTTTCACTGGAGAAGGCAATACAACGGATTGAGGGTTCATTTAGTTGGAGGCAACAGTTTGAAGTTAAAAATGTCTTGATGGATTTGTTTCTTACAAAAATGCAACTTTTTGCTTCACACTATGTTAATTGACAGACTGGAGTTGGAATATGGATTACTTGTGGATTATTGTGATGTTTTTATTTGCATTTTTGAGTCTCATTCTTACGGCACCCATTCACTGCAGAGATTGGTAAGCAAGTGATGTAATGCTACATTTCTCTAAATCTGTTCCGATGGAGGAACTCATCTACATCTTGGATGACCTGAGGGAGGTAAAATTACCAGCAAATGTTCATTTTTGGGTGAACAATTCCTTTAATATTATCCATTAGAATATGCATTTTAAAAAACACATCTCAAATACTCAAATATTTAATTCTTAGAAGTGACGTGTTAATATAATTTCAGATAAAATAAGATAGTTTATAGCTTAAAGATAGTTAATACAGTTTAAAGAGAAAATGTAAATGAAAAAAAAGTATATACATATGTATATATATATATATATATATATATATATATATACTATAAAATTTAAAGACATTTCTTTTAAATGCATGCACATTTTTTTATGAGGCAACAACAACAAAAACAACAAAATAGATATCATGCTGCACAAAACGCTTACTGTATGCGCATTCAGTCTTTTCTACTCCCGTATTTTGTTCTAACAGACACTTGGTAGCAAGTAACATGATTTAGAAATGACAATAAACTCTAGCAAGATACCATACCACCAAACCTTTCCTTAACCGTAGCTATATCCCACCTAAATAGCAGCAAAAGTGTTTTGCAATTCAACATCAACACAAAATTATACCTAACAATATTTTTTTTGGACTTAAGTATAGTAGTTAAAAACCAACCAAACCAAGTATAGTAGTTAAAAGAACCAATTCTCACTATTAATAAGTTGATTATTAGCATGCATATTGCATATTGGGTGTTTATTAGTACTAATAAAGCACATATTAATGCCTTATTCTGCATGACTGTATTTTAGATCCCTTAATCCTACCTCATACCTAAACTTAACAACTACCTTACTAACTATTAATATGCAGCAAATTAGGAGTTCACTGTGGGTTAATAGTGAATATGTGTTCTCTAATCACCTAATACAGGTGCATCTCAATAAATTAGAATGTCGTGGAAAAGTTCATTTATTTCAGTAATTCAACTCAAATTGTGAAACTCGTGTATTAAATAAATTCAGTGCATACAGACTGAAGTAGTTTAAGTCTATGGTTCTTTTAATTGTGATGATTTTGGCTCACATTTAACAAAAACCCACCAATTCACTATCTCAACCAATTAGAATACTTCATAAGACCAATAAAAAAAACATTTTTAGTGAATTGTTGGCCTTCTGGAAAGTATGTTCATTTACTGTACATGTACTCAATACTTGGTAGGGGCTCCTTTTGCTTTAATTACTGCCTCAATTCGGCGTGGCATGGAGGTGATCAGTTTGTGGCACTGCTGAGGTGGTATGGAAGCCCAGGTTTCTTTGACAGTGGCCTTCAGCTCATCTACATTTTTTGGTCTCTTGTTTCTCATTTTCCTCTTGACAATACACCATAGATTCTCTATGGGGTTCAGGTCTGGTGAGTTTGCTGGCCAGTCAAGCACACCAACACCATGGTAATTTAACCAACTTTTGGTGCTTTTGGCAGTGTGGGCAGGTGCCAAATCCTGCTGGAAAATGAAATTACTATAAAATTTCCTAAAAGTTTGTACTTGCCTCAACAGTCCTTTCAGATTTTCAGATGTGCAAAACCGAAAGTAAGATATCACTCTTCGCTCACAGACATGCTCAGTCCAATGTGTGATTTTAGTCACAGAGTTTCATCAGTCCATCTTCTGTCAGGATACTTGCTTCTATGCTTTGGAAGTTTTTCTTAGTTTTGTAAATATATAAATATTCCAAGTTAAGTTATACTTCAGAGGTATCCAAATGATTTTAAAATCCTTGATTCCTTATTTTCATGTGTTGTTTTTCTCTCTCTTTTTTGCCATTTGTAGCTCTGCACTGTTTCGGTCTGTCACTCTCTCTGTCCCTCTTTGGCTGGTGTTCCGGATTCACACAATACAGATTTATTCATTTAAAATGGTAAATAATCCTCTCTCTTCCTCTTTCCCTCAGATCTCCCCCTCCCCGTTTTGTATATTCTGTCTGGCCAAAGATAGATGACGTCCTTCCAAGAAACTCCTGGTAAATCTGAAGATGAAACCCACTTCCTATCTCATCTTAATCTCGCTCTCTCTCCCCGGGTCCTCTACAATTCTGTTTACAATAATAAAACATGCAGAATTTATGTTGTCACAAATGGGCGAGTTTCTGAATATACATTAAAATAATGGGATGTACTATATATATATATATATATATATATATACTGTATATATATACAGTATATTCTATGTGTTTATGTGTTTATGTATACATATAACATATATAACTTCTCTCTGATGGGAATTATTATTATTAATAATATTATTATTATATAAGAATTGCCAGATTAACAGTCTGACATTGTTGGATAATGCAAAAGATTTATCAGAAGATTTATGTGAAAACAGACTGAATGCAGGTAACAAGTAGGTTTGATGTCAGTGTCACAAGTGTTTTGTGAGAAATGACGGATAGATGCACTAGATATTTTATCCAGTGTGGTCTCTCTGTTAATCTGTGCATGTAATCTGTGTTGTCATCTGTCATTGTTCTCTGCTGGAACCTCATTTAAACTACAGATTTAATCCTTCACTCTGACCTGAGGATGAGGAGGAGACGACACTTATCCACCCACCACACACACAACACACATTCTCCCACGAAACCCGCTGTTGCATGTGTTCTCTCGGCTGTGTATTTGTTCTCAAACACGAAGAGAGAATAAAGCAGCTGCAAAGAAAAAGCCACATAGCAATAAAAAAAATGTACAGAACTGAAACAACCATCTTGAACTGCTATGCATGCAAACACACACAAAGACATAGAAAGGTTTAAGCAGAAACCCACCAAGCTTTTTAACTTTCTCTCTCACTGGTGCACTTAGAAAGAAAGTTTTACTTAGCTGCCATCAGTCAGGCAAGGCATACGATTTTAAGCTATTGTGATATTAAACCCTCTATGAGTGCAGTATTAAAAAATCAACTGGGTCAGAGGGAGAGAGAATAGATAATATTCAAAGAAAAAAAGGAAGGAAAGAAAGACAAAGAAACCAACTGAAGAGAATGAGCACATTGAGTCTACAGTATATTTAGAGCATGAGCGACAGAAATAACACAAACAGGAAGTTAATAGAATTACGACAGGAAACCACATTGCTGCAAAATTCTGCATTAACACCACATTCCCTCTCCCAACCTTATCTTGGCTTCCATGCCACCTCAGAAAACATTTCTCATCAAATTTCTCATCTAAGTTCAAACATGACCATACTATGTATTGTTCTACTAATTTACTCCCAATTTTATTCTGATTCTGCACCCAAGTCAAAAGTCACAAAAGATCTAAATGATTGTCTTTGTAGTTTATTTAAAATTATTCATACTCCAACTAAAAAAATCAATCACTTGCATAAATACATTTTTTTCAAAAAGCCAACATCATTCAGGACATAAGCAAAATCCTATTTTGTTTCTGACTATTTAAAAACAATACCAAAAAACAAACAAACATAGCAAAATCAAGTCATTACAAAACATTAAAAAAGAATAAAATGAAGCCTGCTAAGTAAGCGCTTTTGTGGTTATGTACACCTTTCTTGACTTGCCAAACAACCGAAGCAGTGTAATGTAGAACACTCTGCTGATTGTTGATGACGAGAGAGTTGTGCTTAGGGTCAGTAAGTCTTTTGTGAGCACAGGCCTTCAGCTGTAGCCGTATGAGTCATAGTCACTGTTTCTGTTGGAGGAGGGCTCTCTGCTCTGGTTTACTGTCAGTCTCTCCAAACCTGACAACACAGAAAGAATGGGTACCTAATGTGTGCATGGCTCTTTTCACGGACAGAGTCTGAAACTCTTAAGACAAGACACCCCAGATGAGGATTTAACTAGTAGAAAGATTTTAACTAACAGAAATCACCATACTTAATTCTTAATTGATTGATCACATTAAGAATTGCACACTTTTTTTTATTATTATACATATATTTTGAGAAATGTTACATTCATGGTATTATCTAATTAAATACATACTAATTTACATTAATTTGCAGAACAGAAATCTGAATGTTGGATAAAGCTAGGTTCAAAATTATTGCTTCATTTTATTGATATATGAGAGTCAAAACAGCCCTCTGATTTTGGATTTTTTTATTAAAATAACACATTTTCACCATGTCTTTTGGAATGAAATGTATAAAATCAGGTGAATGATATATCATCAAACCTGTCAGTAAAAACAGAATATAGACAGGAATAAAACTGGAAGTTTGATATACAGTATGTAATTGCTGCTGAAGTGGAGATTTCTGGCTCAGTGCATCAGAACAAAACTTATTTTGAGTAAAATAGTCTTTAAAATGTGTATTGTAATTGAAATCTACAGACCCCCCACACATAGTGTCTTTCTAAGAAATATATTTTTTCCACCAAATTGTCAGTAATCACCAGCCTCAGGAGGTCGAACCAAATATGCAACTAAATATTGTATGAGCTGTTTCATTTTCTATTCTAAATAAAACTTTGAAATGTCATGTTTTTAGCATTAAATAAACATAAAAAATAGATAAATGGGTAATTCAAAATTAGCCTAAATTAATCCCTACTATCACACATAGGTGCTAGAACATTTGGGACAATATGCAGTGTTTTTTTTTCATACATGTTAGAAGTTTTCCCCTCATTCAACTAAAGAATTATAGATTGTCAAAAATTATGATCTTGCATGATCTTAATTGTTGTATGCAGTCGAGAAGTTCAAAATTGATAACTGATAATGATGGTTTAGATAATTTCATGTAAAGTGAATTTTATGTTAGATAATAGTATATTCTAAAATATTCAAATAGATCTCACAACCCAAAAAAATCACACACATGTGATTTGTATTGCTGAGCAGTTTGAATGAAAAGTCCAATACATCATAATACTCAATTGATCATTATGCAATTGAGTACAAAGTAAATGAGCATGAAAGCGACTGAGAGATTAATAGAAAGAGTGCAGAATGGTCAGGATAGAGAGAAAGAGGGAGATTACTCACCAGGAAAGGACTGTCTCTTCTCTGTGCTTTTGGTTGCGGGACCTTGACCTCTGTTATAGCACACTTAAAGAAGAAAGATAAAATACTGAATCTTTTCTGAGCAGCCAGTCATGAATATGTTAATGTTTGAGATGAATGACTCACCACTCTGAGTAGGGCCGATCCAGCGACTCTGCCGTTTTTGTGAAACTGCATAAACCAGGTACAAATAGTCAAATTAGACAGAGCAATTAACTTTGGTTTAAAAAAAAAATCTGTGGCACAAGAACAGGAAAATGTGAGTACTTTTCTAACTATATAAAGCCATATGTCAACATACTGATTTTAGATGTCATTACATAAGTGAAATCGAAATGCTTGAGAGCACTAGTGAAAATGCTTTTACAAATTATATTCTCAGCAAAAGAATTTGAAAATGAAGATGAATTTGATAACTTTGTGGTACTTGAGCTGCATGAACTCTTGTGCTTTGATGGAAGAAGAACATCTGAACAAAAAGTTCACATGATCAATCTTTAAAAAATGTGCTTATATTTGATTAGTGACCCAGAAAAAGTGCAAAATCTCATATTTCTTCTTTGTTTTCATCATTTTTCTTTCTTTAAAAATGTTCCCCAGATTTTGAATATAGCCTTAGACTTTTGGACTGAACAAAAAAAAAAACATAGAAATTTTGATGGTGCCATGTGCTTGAATTCAAAAGCATTTATAATTTTTTATAATAAGTAATATGAAATGAAAGACATGCTCGTTGACTTCCCTGACTCACATCTTTTGCGGATGGCTTTGTACATAGGCCGACTGAACTGAACCAGAATGACACCCAAGATCAAGAAAATTAATATGCCGATTACTGCTTTATAAGCAGCCAACTCTGTTCCTAGAGAATCTGAGAAAATGTGGGAAGGAAAGAATATAATGTGTTATTCAAAATGCACAGCATATGAAATAGTCACAGTAACAATTATTTTGCCTATGAAACCTGATAGGAAACAAAAACATCAAGAGAAACATTCCAGCAGAGTCATATATAATCTATACAGTAAATCTGTTCCCTGTAAATAAACACGTACATACACACCTTGGCACATGATATGCAGGCCCTTGCACTTAGTAGTATCGATGATCGTCATATTGCTTGTGAGCATAAAACATTTAGTTTGGCTTGAAGTGGGCTTAAAACCCTTGACGTCTCCACATCTTGTGTCCTTACACACTTCAGTCCACCAGCTGCCTGATGTGTGACTGTTAGAGCACAAAGGCTTTTGACGCTCACGAGTATACAGATACAGCTGACCTTCACATGGACTCCCTTTTAACCATTTTACTTTCAGCCGGTACAGAACAGACTTTGTAATATTATGGATGATTATCGGACATGGGGTCTGTGGGGCAGTGGATGTCGTAACATTAATGCGTTGTGAGGTTGAGGGGATTGTAAGGTTGTTGGTCTGGGTCTGAGTTGAGATTCCTTCTGTAAAGGGAAAAGGCGCGTGGAAATAATTTATTTTCATGACAATGTTGTAATACAATCATTCCTCTCCACATGAAATGTGCAGTTTCGAAATAAATTCCAGGAGTTTAAAACATTTCAAGTTTCAAATGTAAATGTAATGAGAGTTGTACCAAGAAACTGTAGTTAATTAGCGTCTGCAGACTGCTGTTCTGTGCTCTTATTTAATTACAGTGCAACTAATGTGAAGATATCGCTTCAGTTGAGATATTATATTTTTGATAGTTCTCCAACTTGTTACATCTCAATACATATTCTGTTTTAAAAACTTCACATCTTCGTGTAATATTTTCTATGCAAAATATGCCATGATATGCACTGCATTATTCAAGCATAAAAACGCCCTGTTACTGAGGTCAGAGAGCAGATAGCTGGATCATCTGCACTCATTACAATCTTGCACTTTTTGCACATGCAGTGCTCGAAGGCATTCACACACATTTTGCACATTTGATTGCATGATTGCACTTTGCAAACATGCAGGTGCATCTCAATAAATTAGAATGTCGTGGAAAAGTTCATTTATTTCAGTAATTCAACTCAAATTGTGAAACTCATGTATTGAATAAATTCAATGCACACAGACTGAAGTAGTTTAAGTCTTTGGTTCTTTTAATTGTGATGATTTTGGCTCACATTTAACAAAAACCCACCAATTCACTATCTTAACAAATTAGAATATGGTGACATGCCAATCAGCTAATCAACTCAAAACACCTGCAAAGGTTTCCTGAGCCTTCAAAATGGTCTCTCAGTTTGGTTCACTAGGCTACACAATCATGGGGAAGACTGCTGATCTGACAGTTGTCCAGAAGACAATCATTGACACTCTTCACAAGGAGGGTAAGCCACAAACATTCATTGCCAAAGAAGCTGGCTGTTCTCAGAGTGCTGTATCCAAGCATGTTAACAGAAAGTTGAGTGAAAGGAAAAAGTGTGGATGAAAAAGATGCACAACCAACCGAGGGAACCGATTCAAGAATTTGAGTGAACTTCACAAGGAATGGACTGAGGCTGGGGTCAAGGCATCAAGAGCCACCAAACACAGTAAATTAACATACTTTCCAGAAGGCCAACAATTCACAAAAATTATGAAGTATTCTTATTTCATATTTCTTATGAAGTATTCTAATTTGTTGAGATAGTGAATTGGTGGGTTTTTGTTAAATGTGAGCCAAAATCATCACAGTTAAAAGAACCAAAGACTTAAACTACTTCAGTCTGTGTGCATTGAATATATTTAATACACGAGTTTCACAATTTGAGTTGAATTACTGAAATAAATGAACTTTTCCACAACATTCTAATTTATTGAGATGCACCTGTAGATGGATATTCATAATATTCCGAATCATGGCCTTAACGGATCTATAATTTGTATTACCAAAATTAACCATAATGATTTTATATATGTAATCATTATGGTTATGTGAGTGGAATAGAATGAGCGAATTGTTTTTTTCTTCAAATGCTTAACTTATTTACATGTTTAAACTGCCTATGCATGATTATTCATATGAATACATAATTACTATTATATATACATTTGAAATTCTAGGATTCTAAGATTGAATTCTCATGCACTATGCCTGTGTTTATTCACAACAACATTCTTCGACAACATACATTTTGTGTAATACAGGAGGCATTTATATGATTTTCACTTTTCATTGCTTAATATTTAAGAAAGTATCCTTGTTGATAAACCATTTACATTTATTTTTGATGGAAAACTAAAATATATTAAAAGCTCTTTCATTAGTTCTGGGGTTAAATATGTTAAATGGTGTATGTTAAAAACATAAAACCTTATGTAGTTAAGACCGATTCCTTTGAAAATTGCTTCCCGTGGTATTGTTTACGTTTTCTTATTCTCTAAAATTCAAATGGTAAAATGATTGATCTAGCAGACTATTGGCTTAAAAGTGTAATTTGGCATGATTTCACTTTTTAATAGTATGCAATATAATCGTTCAAAGATTCTTGTCATTTTTTCCATAGCAAAGACAACTTAACTTTTTTTTTTTTTTTTAAACAGCATCTTTACATGGCATAGCTCGTGATAAAATAGTACCATTTGACATGGTAACAACAATCATTATCAGGGGCCACACTCGTATGATTGTAATGTGCAGTTTATGTTAAACACAAAGAAAAAAATCAAAAATACATCTTTTATGAATAATACAGAAATGTGTAAAGAATAGTTATTGCAAGGTCGACCCGTATTAGATGAATAGCTTGCAACAATGTTCAGATATTCGCGTTGACATTGGTTTCCAGTAAATAGGGCATTAAGAGTAAGAATTAGAAAGATTAATAAAAAAAAAATCAATACAAGCATATGACATTTTATTGACAGTTGCACTAATTTTGTAATGCACTCTTGCAGGCCCTTAAGTTGTGATTTTATATATATATGATATTCATTATAGCTCTTCATTTCTAAAGGAAAACAATGTTTTGCATTATAAAAGTTTTTAAAAGTAATGTACAATACTGTGAATGAAAGCATCAGAATATAGCTGTGCGCTATTGTTCCTTGGACCGTTTTGTCTCGCGAGAGAAATATTAAATCAGATAAAAATCTAACTGTACATCAGCATCTACAACTCACCACAAATATTTTCTGCAAGTGGTAGGGTTTCAGAGGCAGAGCAGCTCATAACAGTTCATATAATAATAATAGAATATAAGAGTGCAACAGTGAAATATATTTAAAGAACAAACAATTTACTTACGAACTCCAAGGAACAGGAGCGCCGTAAGAGTCATCAGCAGAGAGTTTTCCATCTGACAAAAGGTTTGCCGAACATTTAAAGCAAAACATAACTTCATTTGACTAAACAAAGTGACTCTATGCACTTAAAAAGATAACAGGCCCAGAGGTCAAATTAATGACCTCTGGTACAAGACAAGCAATGCTGTTTTTTGTTTATCTAATTGGGCCTCGGCTCAATTATAATGTTTCTTTTTGTTTTTCACTTACTTTTTAGTGGTTCAGATAAAGCAAACCAATACACAACCATGACTAGCTATATTAAAATCTTTGGCCTGTACTTTTTATTTTTTTTTATCAGAATGGCAAAGACCAATCATTCCGTGACTTGAACCACAATAAGAACAAATCATTCACTACAGTGACATACAGTAATACATTTGTAGATACAAACTGGACTCCCTTTTGGCAAGTTATTTAGAATCTTATTTTAGAAATGTTACATTATGTCTCATTTGTAGTCGACAGCTGTCTTCGCCTCTCTGTTTCAGCAGCTTTGAAGATTTTCTTTCTCAAAGAGAGTCAAACATCTATGAACCACCACAACTTCTAACCAGCTTTTTAACAATATATTATCAGATCTTACCTTGCGGGTGACTGACAAGAACAAATGTGTGGAACAAGTGACAAGAAAAATTAAGTGAAAGGAAATAAGCAGAGGTGTGGAGCTACAATCTTTGTTTCCCCGCCCCCATCCTCTGTACTTAACTTTTTAGTGGTTCAGATAAAGCAAACCAATACACAACCAGACTAGCTATATTAAAATCTTTGGCCTGTACTTTTTATTTTTTTTTATCAGAATGGCAAAGACCAATCATTCCGTGACTTGAACCACAATAAGAACAAATCATTCACTACAGTGACATACAGTAATACATTTGTAGATACAAACTGGACTCCCTTTTGGCAAGTTATTTAGAATCTTATTTTAGAAATGTTACATTATGTCTCATTTGTAGTCGACAGCTGTCTTCGCCTCTCTGTTTCAGCAGCTTTGAAGATTTTCTTTCTCAAAGAGAGTCAAACATCTATGAACCACCACAACTTCTAACCAGCTTTTTAACAATATATTATCAGATCTTACCTTGCGGGTGACTGACAAGAACAAATGTGTGGAACAAGTGACAAGAAAAATTAAGTGAAAGGAAATAAGCAGAGGTGTGGAGCTACAATCTTTGTTTCCCCGCCCCCATCCTCTGTTTCTCCACATAGAGCGTGTCTTTTAATCTCAAGCGTTGTTTGATTGCACATTGCACTGCTTCCTCACTTCAAACAGAGCTGCATACAAAAAAAATGAAGAAAAGCTTGAAAAAAATGTGAGCGTAGGTAAGTGGGAGGAGAAAAAGTAGTAAGTAGCGTGATATTGTCTAACTTGATATTAAATGTTTAAAAAAAAAAATTAATTTGTAAAAATGTAATTTTAAAAATTAAAAGTTGGTGGTAAAAAATTGGCGAAATTTTATTTTTTTCATCTAAAAATTAAAGATGGTTCAATGAAGCAGCAATAAAATCTGCATATTCAAAATCTTTCTTTTTGCATAATTTTGCCTCTTGTGGTGTACGGCACACTGAAAACACTCACATAAGTTGCACAAAGATGATTAATCGTGCTCACCGGAATCAACTGCGGCAATCGGTAAGGCTGTAAAACCACCGATATCCACATCTTTCCTTTCATTTCACTGTTACTCATATCTTCTTTTCATTCACAATCTTTCCCAGCCACCTCTTTTTTCCTCCCTCACTCTCTCGTTTTTTCTCAGGTGTCGCCGGGGTTGGTTTACCATATCGTAAAGTTGGAGAGAGACCCGTAAAGACTGGGTTTTGTATGTGTACAAAAAAATTCCCCCAACACCCTCTTGAAACTCTCGTCTATGATTCAATATGAACGGAATTGAAACAGCCTTCAAAAGTGAGTCAATGAGCTGAACTACCATTTCTCTTCTTGTAAATTTGTGAAAACGTGTAAAAAAAAAATATTTTAAACTTTATGTTTGGGGTTAGTACGTTTTTTGACAGAAGTTTCTTATGTTCACCAAGGCTGCATTCATTTAATCAAAAATACAGAAAAACAGTAATATTGTTAAATATTATGATTTTTAAACTGTTGAATATATTATAAATGTAATTTAGTCCTGTGACGGCAAAGCTGAATTTTCAGCAGCCATTACTCTGGTCTTCAGTGTCACATGACCCTTCATTCTAATATGCTGATTTGGAACTCGTAACATGTCTTCTTCTTCTTATCAATGTTGAACAGTTTTGCTGCTTAATATTTTTTGTGAAAACTGGGATACATTTTTTGATTAATTGAAAGTTCAAAAGAACAGCACATATTTGAAATAGAAATATTTTGGAACATTATAAATGTGACCCTGGACCACAAAACCTTTACTTCTTAAAGAGGTCCTATTATGCTTTTTCACTTTTTTAATTTTAATCAGTGTGTAGTGTGTATGTTTGGGCATAAAAAAGATCTAGAAATTTACAAATCTCAAAGTCCACTCCAAAGGGAGATATTTAGTTTTTAAAAAATCCCTTTTCAAGAACTACAGCAAACGACTCGTTTGGACTACAGCGTTTGGTTTCCGGGCTTTATGATATCACAAAGCGGCTCATTAGAATTTCATTACAAAGAATTCCCACCAAGAGAAATTTGAATGGTTGGGGGGTGGGGAGGGGCTAGGTCGTGGTTAGAACGCTTGGTTGAGTGAGCGCATGAGACGAGACGACGAAGAAGAAGTGCTGCTGCAGAGTTAGTGCGTCAGAGAAAACCAAGAAGAAGAGCAGCTGCTGTGCTGTAGCCTCAAATTTTTGGCATGTCTAGAACAGCGGTTCTTATTTCCAGTCCTCGCGTATCCCCGCTCTGCACATTTTGTATGTTTCTCTTATTGCTTCATACATTTGCTATATTTGACTGTAAGTACACCCCCAAAACAAAATCAAGACTTTGTAAAAGAGCATAATCGGACCCCTATAAGTCGCTGGGGTATATTTGTAGCAATAGCCAAAAATACATTGTATGGGTCAAAATTATAGATTTTTCTTCTATGCCAAAAATCATTAGGACATTAAGTAAAGATCATGTTACATGAAGATATTTTGAAAATGTCCTACCGTAAATATCAAAACTTGTTTTTTGATTAGTAATATGCATTGCTAAGAACTTCATTTGAAAAATTTTAAAGGCGATTTTCTCAATATTTTGAATTTTTTGCACCGTCAGATTCCAGATTTTCAAATAGTTGTATCCCGGAAAGCTTATTTATTCAGCTTTTAGATGATGCATAAATCTCAATTTCGAAAAATGTACGCTAATGTCCAGGGTCACACATGTCTTTACTGTCACCTTTGATCAATGTGCTGGATAAAATAATTCATTTTTCACTTATAAAACAGTGTAAAAAAAATCAGTTATTCCAATCAACACAGAAATCGTAGATCAACTTCAGTGTTTAATATTCACACCCGGAAAAAAAATGACAATAAAAATACACTTTTAACAGGCTACAGTCATCACAACCAATGCAATATAATTTATTTCCTCTAATGCTGCAAATCAATGTGCTAATAAAATTTTCATCCCATTTGTTTTCGCTCATCCTCGTGTCGTATCACCCCTCTCCCTCGCTCCAGGTGCTGGGGAGGGAACCTAAACGTGGGGGTTTTGCTACAAACCTGAGTTCATGAATTTGATAAAGCCACTCGAGGCCTGATTGAGGATGCCTCTGGTTTTGAATTGCTTTAAAGTACAAAAATAAACAGACCCCGCACGCCTATTCTAAAGCTGACGGTTCGAAGGCCCCGCTCCCAGCTCCTGTTGCCAAAGAGTTCAGGACTGTTAGTGTGGAGTGCTAGTGTGATTCACATGGTTCTCCGGTTGGCAGACAAGGAGACCTCAAATAGATGGGGGTTTTATGGATCTGCATAACACCACGTAATGACACGCACAGGCCGTTTTGATGGATAGGCCTACAACTGTGGCAGAATCTGAAGGTGGACTCAAACCAAACCACAAAATATAGCATTCTGTTGGTTAACCAGATCCAATCCCACTCACGTTATGATTCTGAGGGCAATGTGCCTCTGAAACAGACTGGGCGGCTAGCTGTGCAAGACCATCAATGTCTCATTCTGTCTAAATTCAGTGTAAAATATGCAGCCAGGCATTCGTCTGCATAGTTTTACCACAAAAGGTCTATCTACATTAACGGTAGGTGCAGAATGCTATATTGACTAAAGTAAGCATGTTATGAAACTCCTATTTTCTTTGCATATACTCTGTGCTATGTTATGCCTCAACTGCCCAACCAAATCCTGTGCTATAGAAGATAGATATGACTATATTAATATCCCTTGTTCTCCGATTTCCCTTTAATTTTAGTTTAATTTGTTAAGTACACCGTCCCCAGTAGAGAACTTACAGTAAAAGTCTATTTCTTCCAATCATTGTCAAGTGGTATATTAAATAAATGGAGTGGAAAAAGAGGGAGCAAAAGAGGTATCGAGAGAGTTTGGAGTGATCGGTTGGTGCATTGGTACACTAAGCTTTCATAACAGGACGCACCGCACCCAAATCTGCACACGTGGAAGTTGTCTAAATGTATTCATGATAACGAATAAGCTCGGCTTTTTGAAGAAGTTTTCATCTGTGATGGAATGGAAAATGGTGCTGTGCTTTCTGGATTGACGTTGTCAACAAGGGTCAATATAGACAAGAGATTAGCCCAACGCTAACGTAACACTTCCATGTAGCGTCTCAGTAGAATTTTGACAAAATGATTGGGAAAAAAACAACAGCCAAATAAGGCTGAGCTGTAATACAATGTTGTAAAAAAAAAAAAATTCTCGTCATTAAATATAATAATAAATCAGAATTTTTTGCAAACTGATAACATGCTTTAAAATGGACAAGAGCCGTTTAAGACTGTGCGGCCCATATTGAGTCTCTGACTGAGGTTTCATGGGGGAAACAAGCACAAGCTCAATCTCAATTGTCTTTATAAGCCTCAGACAGGAACAGGATGTGACGTGGGTACGCAAACCACAAATCTGAGGGTAAGAGCAGGAGGAGAAAAGAGGGAGAGGGAGGATCATGAGAAAAAGAGAAAGACAGACACACACAGAGTGGCTCAGGAGTATGGTTGTGGTACCCCAAAACCTGGCCTATAAAGCGGTCTAGCTGTGGGTGATTGGTTTGATGGCCCATGGGGGCCTGTGGGGTAGTTGTATCCTCCATAAGCGTATGGAGCGGGGTACGGGGCGGGCGTGGGACCAAACTGCCCAAAAGGTGGGGCAGGAAATAGTGGTTGGGTGGGGTATGGGCAAGTGGGAGGACCAAACGCAGGCCTGGGAGCTGTGTAGCCTGTTGATGGAGGAAAGGGGGGACCCTGGCTGGGGTAGGGCTGAAACGCTGTGCTAGGGTTAGTGGTGCCCGCTGTGGAGGCTGAGGGAGGAGCAACGGGGTAGGGGGTGTAGGGCAGAGCAGAAGTTGAGGCATTGGAGGGTGCATTGATTTTGGAGCTTTGTTGCCGTTGAGGCTGCGGTTGTTGCCACGGCGATGATGATCCAGCATCCTGATTAGCACAGGTTTGTGATGTCACTGTAGCATCTCCAATCTTTTTGCTTTTTCGGCTGAGAATTTCTTGCAGCTTTTCAATGCGCACTCGTCTCGTGTGAGCCAGAGAGCGGAGGGAAAGGAAGCGTTCGAGGAAAGAGTCCAGCGATATCGAACCTTCAAGAAACTCATCTGCTAAAACCTGAGAGAAAGAGATTGAGTGATTTTCAAATCCTCAAATTGTGGGGTTGGTAACACCATACAAGTTTTATAATATTATATTATGCTTAGGAAATCAGTAGTTCATAAGCCTTCAAATGTGAAAAAAAAAATTGAATACTGCATTATTCAAGAACTCTGTTCAAAGAATCCTTTTAAGGATTATATAACAATTTTCTTGGAAGACAGCTAAAAATTTACATTTTGTAATAAATACCATAATATTCTACTATAACGTAATATTATTCATAATTTGATTATAATTACTTCCTAGTTATAATAACTTATCATATTACTATTTGATTTTTTTATTTGATTTTGATTACATTAAATGCTATAGAAGGATGGATGGAACAGAAGAATGAATTTTATTTCAAAAACATAAAAATGTCCTGGGGCCTCATGTATAAAACTTTACATAGATTTCATCCTAAATGTGTGCGTACGCACAAAAGCTAGATTTTGCATACGTACAAATGTTTTCAGATTTATAAAGCCATGCGTACGCCAGAACCTGCGAAAAATTCCCTTTGTAATACCAGTCAGCAGAAGATTGTGTTTACATAAATCTCCACCCCGTCTCCTCCCCGAAATAGCCATATATGATCTATTTACAATGCCTAGTTTTAATATGCATAACGTCATCTGCATATCATTTCCATGCATATTCCATCCATGTGACACCATGTTTAACACAGTTAAGGGTAGGAATATTTTAGGAAAATATAAAATATGGACTATAAATGCGTTTTGAGACATCACTATTCCAATTTATGCAATTTGCCTAAAAGGTAAACATATATTTTAGAATGTTTATAGCCTATATTTTTATGGAAAGAGATAGGCCTTATTTTTTTTTGCAGTGTAAATAGCTGTCTGACTCACCGCGTCAATAACAACATTTTGAAAATAAAATGTGCATATCTTACAGTTTCCTTCAAATTCTATCTTTTAAATATAGTGTTTGTCACAATATTGGGAAGAGCATGAAAGGGGTTATCATTAGGCTACTGTCTGTGCGCGACACCTGTGAACAGAGTGTCATCTGACCAATTATTGTTTGATCAACAAGCGCATCCTTATGTCTGTCGTTACCGTCTATGTTCCAAAGCCATCAAACAAAGTTCACAAAAATGATTATTATTATTCGCGCAAAAGTATTTTCTCAGAACATGAGTTTTGCTATTTAGAACACAATTTAAAGTGGAATTGTCATGCGCCAAGCAATCCTCGCTGTGATTAAAACATTAAATCGCATACCACAGGAAAACTGTTAGAAAGCAGCACATCCACTGCAAATATTTCTGTTTAAATTCATATAAAAATGTTGTAATTTCTGGATAATAATTTCATGAAATTTCAGTGCTTAACTTCATTATTCAGTGTCATATTTAATCTAAACGCGTATGTAAAAAAAAAAAAAAATACACTTTAAAATCATTCGATTTGCTTCCTTATTTCGCTCCCTCCAGTAAAAGAGTGCGTACGCATCTAGAGTGTCCGTACGGTGCGCACATATTTACGCCTAGTTAATTTTTTTATTAATCCCGATATGTGCGTGGAAAATTGCGTACGCACATTTCCATGCCCATTTTGTGCGTACGCAACGTTTATACATCAGGCCCCTGGTATTTCTGAAAAATTTGGAATGGTTGTGTTTATGAAAAACTATGAGTACATTAAGACTTCCAGATTTGAATCATTTGAACATACAACTTAGCATTTTTAAAGTAATTACATACAGTTTCGTAGATTATTTAATGTAAAAATGTCTAATGTTAATAATGGATTTAATATAAACATATAAGGTTAATATAACATAAGTATAAGGTATAACAGATTTTATTTACAAGAGCAGAGTTTTATTCTCTTTCATTTCTTACATGAACAATCATCCTTTGCTTATTTATCAATAAACAAACCTGACAGTTTCACCAACAGAAAACGCAAACATCAAAAAAAAAAAAAAAAAAGACACCGGTGATTATAAAGGAGTTGGTGGCCCACCTCTGATTCTGCCTCTGTGTTGGTGCCCTCTGTCTGCAGACGAGACAACAGCCCCTCCGGAGAAACCTGCCCCATGATACTGTCTGCAGACGGGGAAGGGAAAAAGAGAACAGAAGTGGGAGAGAGTTGATACATAAATAGGCTGGCTTGTAAAAGAGTAAGAAACTGAAAAGTGAGAACTGTTATGCAAACAAATCAGTTGACTAAAATGTGTAATAATTTTAAACAAAGGAAAAAGCAGTAATGAATAGACAGAGAAAGAAAGGAGAATGAGACTACAGGAAAAGAGGCCAGATACATAGCTTTTGTGTGATGTAATATCACATATGCAAAAAAGGGGAGGAGAATGAGTGCCAGAACAAAACAAGCTCATAGAACAGCACTATATGACAGACATGTGCACATATAAAAGATTTTCTGGCTGAACAACATGGCTCTGTTTAGAAACTCAGTAAGAATTCCTGTGTCTGTTCAAAGCGTAATGGTTCCAGGGTGCCTTCAAGTGCCATGAAAACTGCCAGTGCAGTTTAACTGTAGTGTGAACAAAAGTTAAAAGAACACTGTAATTTTAATTACACTTCTTTGAGCTAAAAGCAGTACTAATAATATAATCTTTTTTAAAAGATTCATTCTATTTTTCACACTGCCTAAACCTTCTCTTTTAGAATATTCAAATTCATTTATTTTCTTACACTGAAACACTTTCCTAAGATATTTACATTTTATTTTTCTTAGGATTTTGTTCATTTCAAAAACTTGCCAATACACAACAGGACAGTAAGACATCAAGATATAAACCGTCCAGTTACAGTTGAACAGAAACAGAATAGGGAAAAATTTATTAAATAAAATATAAATAATATTATATTAATAATAAAATCAATAAAATGAACACTGTTGTAAACAGAAATCTGGAAATGTTCATCTTAAAAATGTATTTCAACAAAAGGGATATGCAATTTTTAATATTTTACATTTCTTTATTCTTCGTGATAATCCCAAATTGTTTCTGTTTTAAATAGTTTAATACAAAAGCACATCATTACCAACATAATTAATTTCTTCTCAGAGCAAAACTACTCGTCAGGTTTTTAGAAAACCTGCTCTGACATCAATCAATTTCTCTCCCCCTTCATTAAACATCAATTTAACCAGCATTCATTGCTATATTCTCTTTGAAACCTTTACTTTCACAACCCAAATCAATTCCTTCTTTCGCCTACCTCTCATGGCACAGTGCTGTTTGTATTTCTCCCTCACTTCCTCTAGTTGAGTGTATTTTCCCACCAATCGTGCCCTCTCCGTATCGAGACGGGGCTTCATGTCCAGGTTTTGCTCAGCCAGACTGCGGTTGGCAGCCAGAGCCATCTCCCTCTCCAACTGAATGTTCTGAATCTGCAGAAGAATAACAGTGACGCATGACAAAAGCTACAACGCTATAGACATCATAAGGTCCACTAGGACAATCCATCCTCAGCAGGACTCTTAAGACTGTGGCGTTTACTTAATGATAGCTGTTGATGCCAAGTAGATAAGTGGTTATTTCTGAATGAAGTGATGAAGAGATTACCAGAAACAAACAAACAAAAATGACGTTCAGAGAGGAGTGGATATATATGACAATTCAATCGGATGTTTAATTTTTATTCTTTTGCAATACATACAAATGTGAATGTTCATTTATTGCCTCAATAATATAAGCAGGTTAAAGGGGTAGTCCATCCAAAAATGAAAATTTTGTTATCATTTACACACCCTTAAGTTGTTCAGAACCTGTACGAGTTTCTTTCTGATGTTCACAGAAGATGATATTTTGAAGAGCATTGGTTACAAACAGTTGTTGGTAGCCACTGACCTCCATAGTATTTTTTTCCCATAATATGGAAGTCCGTGGCTACCAGCAACTTTTTGGTTACCCAAATTCTTCAAAATATCACCAATTATAAAATAACAGTTCACAGAGACATAGATTGAGAAATACAGCATTTGCCTTATATTCATTATGAAAAGAACAATCCAATTATTCACTAATTAACTTTTCTCCACTACCAAAGCACTAAAATCTCATTTATGTTCATGTATATTCAAATATAACACATAAGGATGTGTCACAGTAGGTTTGGCAACAATGCAGCGAGGCCTTGTAATTGATCCCGACACAAATTTTTGAATTTCAGTAGATAAGAATTTGGTCTGTTGGACTATTAAAAAAACAAACAAAAAAAACATGCAATATGGTGAATTCTGCTACACTCTTAAAAATAAAGATTCCAAACAGAGGGTTTCACAGAGATGCCTTAGAAGAACCACTCTGGGTTTTCTAAAGAACCTTTCAGTGAACAGTTCTCAATAAAAACCTAAAGAACAAAGTTTTATAATCGGAATAACCTTTTGTCCAATGGAAACGTTCCATGGATGTTAAAGGTTCTTCACAGAACCATAGATGACAATAATAAAGAACCTCTACATTTAAGGATGTAAGGTACTTTTAAAGGTCTTTTTTGGACCATGGACACCATTCACTTTCATTGTATGGAAGAGAGCAGCATTAAAGGGGTCATATGATGCGATTTCAAGTTTTCCTTTCTCTTTGGAGTGTTACAAGCTGTTTGTGAATAGATAAGATCCCTAAAGTTGCAAAGACTAAAGTCTCAAACCCAAAGAGATATTCTTTATAAAAGTTAAGACCCGTCCAAGCCTTCCTAAAACGTCTCGTTTAAACACGCCCCCACATGTCTACGTCACTTTGTGGGAAGATTTGCATAACGCCGCTCAAATGTTTACACTAAGAAAGAAGGTGTAACTTTGATTCTTGCTGTAGTATTGTTGCCGCCGCTGCCATGTCGTGGAGACGCTGTGTTTCGTTGCGAAAGCGAAAATACTTTGTTTGGCCTTCCAAAAGAGGACAAAACTAGAAATCAGTTGTTTAGTTGTATTTACAACACTGTTCCAGAACAGTTCAAACTAAATATTCATGTGTATGCAATGCATTTTACGGAGGACTGTTTCCTGAACCTGGGAGAGTAGACTACAATGCCGGCTGTTCTGAGTCACAGCCTGTATGTTTTCATATTTAAAGAATTTGCCACTGACGATTCAAATGCGAGTTTTGAGCAGTGTATAGTAGATTGTTGTTTGCCATTTCTCTGATCACAAATGCAGACATGGTTTTATGTTTACGCTGCGCTATGCAACGCAGTGCGTAAAAAGACAGTATAAGTCATTATAATCAGTAATTATGTCCTCACTAGTGTTGTCAAAAGACCCGGTATTTCGGTACCAAATCGGTACTAAAAAAATTAAAACGTTACGGTACCAGGTTTTCTTAAGTACCGGTGGTACCGAGTACCCGGTCAACCCGGTTCTTGATGCGCTATCCGAAAGCTATCCTCTTCCAGTGTTGCCAAGTTGAAAAACGACCCCATTAACGTGATATTTAGCCCCTGGAATGCGAATTTTACCAGGAGAACCCCGCCAAAACATGCGTATTTTATCCTCGGAACGTGATTTTTACCGGGGGACCCCTCGAAACGTGATTGGGCGGGTTTTGTTGTGAAAACCTGGCAACCTCTTCATAAAAGCAGTGGCGACCTCAAGAGGAGGAAACGCATCAAACTAACAAAACACCCCGATCAAGTTCAAGCAGGAAAGTTTCAATTACATTTTTAATATTTAGAGCTTCTGCAATGAATATTATTCCATATTTTAATTTGAATTTCGGATTGAAATAAACATCGCCGTTAGCATAAGCGCGGCTAACTCTAATATAATGAGCATTAGAATTAATTTTGTTCAAAATGATTTCTTTGTTAACTATTTAATGCTCCAATAACTTATTACTGTAAAAAACAGGAGGACATAACGGTATTTACTATTTTTACACACCAAAGGCTTTTAAATGAACTGTGTAACCAAAATATGCGTGTTAGAGAATGTACAAATGTATGGTTAACAGTGTTTGTCAGAAAAAGTTTTTTTTTTTTTTTTTTAGTTAGTTGTAATTCTTGGCTGAATATCTCAAATTAAATATGAACAGTTTGGATTAAATAAAAGTACAGTCAAATCTCCTGTACAGACTCTACTGTACAATGACTTAATGTTTTCTAACGCGAGTTAGATCTAGTAACATCTTACAGTGAATGAACAATATATATTTAAAACATTCATTAATGTTTGTGAATGTTATTTAATACAAACACTTGATCATTCATGTTTGTTCATTGTGCATTAAATAATTTTAACAGATTGAACTTTGAAATTAACCCTAAGAAGAATAATTGCCATATAACTATTGGTTATTGTTAGGTCATGTTATCTAACAAATAAAATCTTATTGTAGTGTTTTTAATACTACAGTTTCCATCTATTATGGATCTATTACTTAATATATGTAACCTTATCTAAATTTATTATAAAAGCTGAGGTTTGTTATTTCCTGAAAAGTTATATTTTAGCTGGTGTCAATGATCTAATGTTGCATTTGATCAGACTCAGCCCATTGCTTTACTTAAGTAAATTATATTTTCCTTTTACAGCTGCAGACTGAGGAAGATCCTGAAACACACCAGCAAACCCTAAAACAGACAACAGTTTACAGATGTTTTTCAGTGGCAGCAGAACTATGACTAAACTTTTGGGTGAAAGTTGTTTACTTTTATTACTTGTGGGAAAACTTGAAACACTTTTAATATAAACAATGGCATTGGTTTTGTACATTTAATTTTAGTTTAAAGTTATTAATAAAAATGTTGCTCAATTAGCATGTTTTTGTGTTTTGCTCTGGTACCGAAATTAGTACCGAGAACCGTGGATTTTCACTGGTATTGGTACCGAATACTGAAATTTTGGTACCGTTACAACACTAGTCCCCACTGGATGCTACAAATGCCTCGTTTATAATGGGTTCTATTGGTTTTGTCTCGTCGCACCGGGACACGGCATTACAGTATGGTAAGGGGCGTAACATTTCCGTCACACGCTTGAGGTATTCGGCCAATCAAAACGCACTGGATAGCTGGCCAATCAGAGCACACCTCACTTTTCAGACCGATGAGCTTTGTAAAAATCGACGCGTTTCAGAAAGGCGGGGCATAGAGGAGAAACAATAATGAACAGTATGTGGAAAATAAAGGGTTTTGAACCTTAAACCACTTAAACACATTTCATTACACCAAATACACAAAATAATGTTCTTTTTTTAGCAACATCATATGACCCCTTTAACATCCTTCCTAACATCTCCTTTTGTGTTCCACAGAAAAAGAACAATGAAATAAGTTTGGAATAACGTGAGGGGGAATAAATAATGACAAAATGTTCATTAATGGGTGAACTATCCCTTCATAATCATCTTACCTCATCAGACTCCAGTGCCATAGACTCCACCCGCTCCGAGTTGTCCAGCAAATCCTGCAACTCGGACTGGTTGAGGTCTTGAAGCTTCTCCATTGATTTGCTAGGACAGCTAAGGATAAACAGTGAGCTTACTTATGTGTCCTAATAATTGACTTATTACATTACAGCTCATCTTAATCATAAGACCAGCATTCTATAGACATCTCATAGTGTGATCCACAAAAGATAGAAAGTCATACAGGTTAGGAAAAAAACATGAGTAAATGATATCAGAATTAAAATTTTGTGGTAAAAGATCCTTTTAAGTTGAACCAGGCTAGCAGTTTATACTTGGTAGGTGTCATTTCGGATATCAAACCACTACTTGAAAACTGATAGGTAATCTGGATCACCTATGGCAGTCATCTGTCATTCAGACAGTGCATAACAGTGGGTTACTTAAAAGTATGGCTAGGAATTATGCTAATGAACCTAAGCTTAACTCTACCTGCTTGGTATTTCTTAAAGAATCCCCCAATACTTACAAGGTACAAGCAAATCAAAGTCCTCTCCGCACAGTGCTCATGGAAAAACATCAAACTTAACTGGAAGCGAGTGACGTACAGATATAGACGGAAGTGCTGAGCCTGACAACTAGCTCGCGAGCGTCCTCGGCGTTAAAGCCCGCTTCCTGCGAGAAATACTTCGGTGACAGTATCAGTACCAGGTGTAGTGCGTTATTTAGCGCGGCAAAGTGGAAATATGTTCCCGAAATTATTCCCGGAGACAGGAGTCTCCTCGCGGTTAGCAGGTCGGCTAGCTCACTTAAAAGAGAGCAGTTGAGCAAGGCGGGTTGGTATTCAATACAAAACGGCGTCGGACGAAATAACAACTCAGAAAAACGTGATAATGTGTGTCCATTAAAACCGCATCGATGTCAATTCAAGCAAAATAGTCCAAATGAAGGTTAACTGCCGGGGTATATCCCTATTCTTAAAGGAAAGTTTCACTTCTCGTTGACAGATATCGTAGCCATCTTTGGATGAAACCATTGTCCATTTTGTCGAGGGAAGTGAGATGTTTAAAACAGTCTAAAAACACAATTTACATTTCTTGCCAATAATATCGCATTTAGTTTTGGAGTATAGATTAAATAACTATATACAGGTTTTATAATGCAGAAAAATTAAAAGACGTTCTCGTCCATTCGTGAAAATATCATAATGTTCCCCTAACATTGATTTTATATGGTATCGTCGTATGTTCAGCTGACTGAAAGGGAAACCCCGATGTGACCAAACATATATCGATGTGACGGGAATATTCCATAGCCTATGTGACATGGCAGTAGGGTTGGTCCTAATATTTCACCAGAAAGGCAACATAATTTTTTTTTATATAGAAGTTTAATATTGCAGAAAGAATTGTCTTACAACTTTACAAATATAAGCACTAAAGAGTAGTATAGTAGAACATTAATTTAGCGTTTGGAATTACAGGCACTTAAAAACTATACATTTTCATCATTTATTTTACATATTTGATTATATCCATTTCATTTGTCAAAGTAATTTGTGATTTTATGAGCTTTCAGAGTTTCATTGATCGTTTCATAGAAATGATTTCATGGCTAATGAAACAAAGTGGTCGAAAATACCATCATCAAGGTTGTAACTTTGACACCATTTTTTTTACTTAATAATAATAATAATGTAGCAAATAATCTTACATGTTCAGTAATAGCAGGTAAAATGTTTACAGTGTAAGTTAATGCCTCCAGTTTCACAAAGACTTCCAAATATGTGTTTTGTACATGACAATATTGTAAATTCACAATTTTAAGGAAAAAAAAACAAAGATAGAAAAACAATAGCAATGATTATGATTTAGAGACAAAATACTAATTTAAATATAAAGATTAAATGCTCGTAAAAAATCTGTGCCTAAAAGAGAAGGTGTATGGATAATGCAATCTTAGTGTATTCTCAGTCCTTTAAATGCAGAAAATGATAGGAAACAATGAAGAACCAGAGCTGCTATATCACAAAGCAACAGCTGCCCAGAGATCACTTTGTAAAAACTCTGTCAAAACAAAAAGAGAAGATTTATTTCATGTGAAATAAAAATCAGAAAAAAACATAGAAGTATTTGATAATATATAATTTGTGGCATATACATATTCCATTAACCATGCCAAAAATAGTGTGTAACAGCACAGAATGTGTATTATGCTTTTTTGCAATTTAGTGGCATCTTTTGGCATTAAAATATTGAAGTAGGCAGGAAGATATTAATGTGTTAAACAGGTCTGTTTTTATATTACTTTGTATAACTGGCTAATGGCAGGATAAATCAATAATTTTCACTTACTTGAAAGATTGTTTGTGGACAAGCATCGTCTTCATGGGATTCAAGTGAGCAAGGAGGGATGTCCAGAGACGTATTTGCAGCATAAGCATACAGAATAAGACCAATCAGTGTCCCCACCAGGCCAGCAAGACCAAAGATCAGAGAGTTTTTTAACTTAGAGGGAGAAAAACAGATAATTGCATATACTTCAGAATAAAGCTTAACAATCCACATCCAATAAGAAGCTCTAGTTACTTGAATTTACCAGTTCTCTCTTAGGAGTTCTTTCAGATGCCAAACCAAATGATCCAGCAATCACAGACTACATAAAAAACATCAGAATAAGAAGAGAAAGTTGATCTTGCATTAAATAAATTGTCAGAAGTATGCAATTGTACGAAAACGTATTAATGGGACTTTATGCTATATTTTTATATGTTTGCTTTGTGTATGATCATTTTATGTATTTTGTGTTTTAGCAAACTTGCCATAATAGTATGACAATCATTTAAAACCATAACAACTACAGTATCTTAGTAGTGAAATAAACATACCACAGAACCAACACAGAGGGGGCACACAAACAAATATTTTATATCAATGCTGATGTTGTAGGTTGGTATAGTCAGGAGGAGCTGGAACAAACCTAGTAATATTGCCATAAGCTAGAGAGGGAAAACGCATGGTGAGAGTAAAAATTCAAACATATTTTCAACAATAACATTAAGCAAAACATCTCAAATGAAACTATTACAGCATGATTACAGTAAGATCCCAAACTACCATTATCTGTCTTCCTTAATGACAAATTATTTGGTCCACATCCACTTACTGCCACCACTTCAGGGTCATAAAACTTGAACAGGCGATGGAATTTGGGAGGATCCGAGTCAGCAGAAGGCATTTGGTTGCTTGACGTCTTGAAAACCCAGCTAAAACTCGATTTAGGTACTGAAAAATAGGGACATTTCAAAGTCCAGTTCAGTGATTGTAATGGCTCTTTACAGACTGAGATAAAAGCGAGAGTCGTTATGAAACATGATCTGATCCCCCTGGAATAATAGAACGTATTGCAGGAATACAGATGCTGGTGGAGAAAAACATCTTTGCGAGGAGAGGAAGTGGGCGGATATAATACAGAAAATGTGTCTGGAGAGAAGAGCAGCACAGCTTGATACAATCCTGATTGCTCAACAGCACTGCAGAGGAAAATAAATAGTACACTACATGCATTGCCTTAAGAGGGGCTGGACTGCCCAGATGTCCAAAACAACTCCTTCCAGTTTCCTTTTTTATTTATTTGTATAGTATACAATCACAAATACACACGCTAACCATTGCAAGCCACTACACAATTTAAATGCACTTTTTAAAAACTATTTTCAGGTATCACCAAAAAAAAAATACACTCATGAATATAAAAAGTAGGCTATGTTATATGTTACTGATAAACATGTCAGGTCAAATGTAATTTTTATTCAAATAATGCACGACCGACTCACCTCGAATGTGAGAATCCTAGAAAGCTCGTGACTGACGGGAACAGAGAGCTGTTTATGAAGTGATCGAAAACAATTAATAAAAGTTCCTATGGGGAGAAGGGGGCTGGACAGACCTTTTCTCTGTGATGTTTGCATAAAAACGCAAAAACTGTTTTTGTATTGCAGACAGAATTGAAGCACAGATCTTTTCCTTGGGATTGTTGCGCACTGAAGAGACGAGTGCAGCCAGGACACAACAAATAACTCAAAAGATCGTGCAGAATCCTTACAGATTTTTTTAGGTCAGCCTGTCTCACTCATTCATGTGGAATTCCGCTCTGCATGAACATCGAGTTTGTTGTACTTAAAAGTATCTGACATTACTTTAAAGACGTGCTCATCATTGTCGCATTTGTTATTACAAACTTCACTTACTTGAAAACGAAGGATGGCTTTGACCGTGTCGACGGACCTGGCAGTGAACACTAGCCCAACTCTGGTAGAGGAAAAGCTACAAGACAAACAAAAAGGAGCCCAAAATATTCGGGGTGAGTGAACGTCGTGTTATGGCTTCAGTAGTGTTGTTACGTTCGTGAACGAATCGTTCTTTTTGAACGAATCTTTTTGGTGAACGAATCATTCTCGTTCACGTAATCCATTGACTCATATTTCTCGTTCACTGAAATTCCTCCTTCCACAGCAGCGCGGCGCTATTGGCAGCGCATGCGCAGATCAGTGAACCGGGTAGCTCTGTGGACTGTTTCATCCTGTCAAAGAATGACTAAACCTCGAGCCAATAGCCTTCGAGTTTGAGATGTGACGGACCGTGTGATTTGTTTAATGTAGTGAACGAATACGCCCTTCACTGAACGAGTTTCTTTTGAGTCTGAACGAGAGAGATCTTCTCGTTCGTGAACGAGTTGAATGAACTGGTACATATCATTCGTGAGTCGAAAGAACTGGTACATATCTCGTTCGTGAATGAAATGAATGAGAGTGTACTGGGTCAGTCGGCCATTAAGCATGTCAATCTCGATCAGCAATCAGCAGAAAGCGGATGCAAAGCGCAGTTATAGGTACTGTGCAAATAAACTTGTTTATATATTCATATTTAGCATACAGAACATAACTCAACGTTTAATCCCCGATTTATGAATGTGTAAATGTCTGACCAAACAATTAAAATGTTAAATATGCAAGAAAACATTGTGCTTTGGTCATCTGAACAACTTATTTAAACTTTGTTTATTTAATGAGTAGATTATGCACACATTTTAATAAAGCCAAATCAGTTTTTTGTAATAAGTGAATACGTTCGTTGACTTAAGACATAACAGATAAAACACTCTTTTTCGCGTATTTATGTAATATGAAGAAATGGTCACTGAACGAATCAGTGAACGAACTGAAAATGAACGAATCTCTTGAAAGAATCAAAATTTCCATCACTAGGCTTCAGTCATTTAAATTTCTTATAAATAAAAAGCTTGGGTCCTTAAAGGGGTTATATGAAGTGATTTCAATTTTTCCTTTCTATTTGCAGTGTTACAAGCTCTTGGTGCATAAAGAAGATCTGTAAAGTTGCAAAGACTAAAGTCTCAAATCCAAAGAGATATTCTTTATAAAAGTTAAGAGTCAATCCCGCCTACCTAAAACGACTCGTTCTAACACGCCCCCACATATCTACGACACGATGTGGGAAGATTTGCAAAACGCCCAAATGTTCACGCAAAGAAAGAAGGCGCAACTTTTATTCTCGCTGTAGTATTGTTGCTGCCTGCCATGTCATGAAGGTGCTGTGTGTTTCGTTGTGAAAGCGAAACTACTTTGTTTGGCCTTCAAAAAAGAGGACGATATCCGCTTGGATACCTGGAGCTAGGGCTGTGCAAAAAGCAATGAATCGCCAGCGATTTTGAACGCGATTTTGTGAAACTTGTCAGTGATCTATGGCTCTGTGTAGTAAATGCCGCTCCATCTGAAAGCACGTGCTGGAGATTTACTACTAATCACCAGAAGCGGCTTTACTGACGAGATTCGTATGAAAATCACATTTCGATCTTTTGCCCAGCCCTACCTGGAGCTGATCCGTGCTGGTCGCTGAGGAAATACATCAACTTCACGCTAAGGATCGCCGGATCGGCTTTCACCATGGACGAAGCGTAGTCCAGCCCGGGGTCGTCACATGTGGTTGCCATAAACCCGCCGGCCACGCC